CTTAATTCTTTAATAGGGCAGTTTGTTTTAGTGGCCACTTCATATTCTTTTCCCGGCCAGATTTTCTTAACTGGCCACTTAATACATTAGTCAACTTTTTTTAGAGCCTTCTTGTCGTTTGTTAAAAAATCTAATAGTTGTGTGGAAACCCTTTTAACAAACTTCAAGACAAGAAGGCTCATCTGATGGAGTCGCTAACATTTCCCGCTATTTTTTTCTTCTCATGACGATTGCTTGTGTTGCGATCGAAACGTCATAGTTTATGGGCCAATTTGTTTGACTGGCCACTGTATATTTTTTCCCTGCCAGATGTTTTTGACTGGCCAATTTATTTTGACTGGCCATATATTTTTTACGAGCCAATGATTTTGACTGGCCACTTCATATTTTTTCCCGGGCAGATTTTATTTAGTGGCCACTTTATTCTATAATAGGGCAGTTTGTTTTAGTGGCCACTTCATATTTTTTTCCCCAGTCAGATTTTCTTGACTGGCCACTTAATATTTTAATAGGCAACTTATTTTAGTGGCCATTTATTTTTCAGTGGCCACTTTATTTTGACTGGCCACATTATTTTTAAGGGCCATATATCTTCGAGTGACAACTTTTTCTACTGGCCTCTTTATTTTTTAATAGGCCTACTTTTTTTTAGTGGCCATATATTTTTTCCAGGCCAATTCTTTTTAATGGCTACTTTATAGTTTTTCCCAGCCAGATTTCTTGACTGGCCACTTTATTTTTCAATAGGCCACTTCATTTTTCAAAAGGCCACTTTTTTAATGGCCACTTTATTTTGGCCGGGCAATTTTTTACTGGCTATACATTTTTATGGGCCAATTTTTTTGACTGGCCACTGCATATTTTTTCCCTGCCAGATGTTCTTGACTGACCAATTTTTTTTTATAGGCCACTTTTTTTTCACTGGCCAATTCATTTTGACAGACCACGTCATTTTCATGGGCCATATTTATTTTATTGACAACTTCATTTTGACTGGCCCATATTTTTATGGGCCAATTCTTTTGACTGGCCACTTCATTTTTTTTTCCCAGCTAGATGTTCCTGACTGGCCACTTAATTTTTTAACGGGCAACTTTTTTTGTCAAGCCAAATTTCTTTAATGGCCACGCTTTTTTCACTGGCAACTTTACTTTTGACTGGCCATACATTTTTTATTGTCAACTTATTTACGGACCACTTTTAAATGCCATTGGTTTACATACATGTGTAGTGACATCGGGGGATGTCACTGTGTAATGCCGGGCCAAGAGAGGCACGGCGTGCGGTGTATTGACATCGCGGACACCACTAGGATGTAGGTGCAGTACTGACCCTAGAGGGGCTGGGTGAGCGCTGATCGATAGCGCTGGATGGCACCACGCTTGGCGTGCAGTGCTGGCCCCTACACGATAGGGTGTAGGAGTGCCGGCCATGGAAATGGGGTTACTAAGGGCCGTGGCACTCTGGTTGACCCCAGAGGACACGTGACCGGTTAAGTCTCCACAGGGGCACCAAGTGGGGGCTAGAGGTGGTCACGTGTCAGGGTCGAGATCCTGTTCGAGGATTCTGGAAGGTGGTCGTGGCCAAGGGCGGATCCAGCCACGCCAGAGGATATAAGCCGGGTCCCCCAGAGGGACCGGCGCTGTTGTTGATCCTGAAGAAACCTTCGTCTACGTTCTACGAGTCTCCAACACGTGGTCTGGTCCATTGTAGCTAGTTACGTTGTAATTAGTGTAGTCACCCTGGTGGTCACCACCATTGGTTGCTATTCTGTTAAAGAGCAGTTACCCCGTGTGTTGGTGTTAAATAAATGTGTTGCCTCCAAGACTACGTCTGCGACTCAGTTGAACTCACTACACATGTATAAAATGCAATAAACTGACAGGGTTACCTCAAATTTAGGGAAACCCAAAAAGCTGAGTGTAAATCTTGACTTAAAGCTTTCGTGACTGCAGGAATTCATATTCTTTGGGTCTTTCGGTAAAGTCACGTAGATAGGTTCAAATAAAATAACAAAAAATAACAAAAAACTACGTTTCGATCATAACTCAAGCGATCGTCATCTTTTTCAATGGTTTTACTTAACTTGACTCCTATGTTTGTCGTGGTCAAATCTTGTAATCAAAATTTTGTCTACTTCCTGTTGTCCAATGAATTTTGCACAAGTACTCAGATCCGGAGACAATGCATGTTTGTATAAAAATCGGCATCAATTTATCAATTAATTGGCTTTTTTAAGCAATTAACCATTTCTATGGACGGATTATTAATTAAATATTTATTTGGGTAGGTAAAAACGCTGCATCATTGACGTACTTCTCGACGATGAGTTAAACGAAGTTGTGAAAAAAAGTTATTAAACTTCATTCCTCTGTATGTCGTGGTAAATCTTGTAATCAAAATGTCGTCCAGTTCCCGTTGTCCACTCGACTTATTCAACTTCATTCCTTTGTATGTCGTGGTCAAATCTTATAATCAAGATGTCGTCCACTTCCCGTTGTCCAATCGAGTTATTTACTTTTTAGTGCACTTTAAAATAAAACCGTTGTTTTAAAAAAAAATGTTTAAGGAGTTTATCTTCAACGGTTTTATTTAACTTCACTCCTGTTTGTCGTGGTCAAATCTTGTAATAAAAAATTAGTCTACTTCCTGGTGTCCAATCAATTCCAAATTTTGCACACGTAATCAGATCCGGAGACAATGCATGTCTGTATCGAAATTGGCATCAATTTATCAATTAATTGGCTCCTTTCAAGCAATTCCAATTTTAGTATGGACGCCTAATTAATTATATATATTTTGTCTAGGTCAAAAACGCCGTGGTCCCTAAACTGTCGAATCGTCTCGCACAAAAAGCAAGCGCCACGTGTCTCAGGCGCGCCTGCTCCGTGTGAACGAGTTACAGAAGTAATCAATTTATTCAAGTAAAAGCGTTGATGTGGGAGCAGGCACCGCATCATTGACGTACTTCTCGAGGGTGAGTTAAACGAAGTTGTGAATAAAACCGTTGTTTCAAAAAATATATTTTTAAAGTTTATTTCCTCTTGATTACGATCGCTTGAGTTGTGATCGAAACGTCGAAGTTTTTTGTTATTTTCTTTGAACCTATCTACGTGACTTTACTGAAAGACCGAAAGAACTGAGAGTAACTTCAGGAAATTGAAGAGGAACCCAAAAATAGAAAAAAACCCCAATGAGTGAATGAAAAGATTGAGAGGCATGAGGTAGGAAAATGACAAGATGGGTGAGAATGATAAATAATTAAAGAGTGGAATTAGTGACTGAATAAAAGATAAATGAATTATTTAATTTGGGAGAAGTTAAGTAACTGACTGTAGTTCAGTGGTATGGTGGGGGCAGAAATAGGAGCACATGGATGAATGAACACAATTTGAGATAAGTTGACTTTAAAAAGTAAATGGGCTTGAGAGAACATAATGCACGTGGGGGTGATCAAGCAAGTTAATACGCGAGTGAACAAGAGAGTGTGAGTGAGCAAGTGAGAGATGAGTGATTGAATAAGTGTGGAAATGACTAACCTCTGAAAATGAGGCAAGAGAGCTTTAGCGTGTAACGCTGTCGCTTTCTGATGTCATTATCGTACATGTAAATGTCCTAACAAGGACATTACCCGGTGGGATTTGGCCACATCCAGCTGGAGGTCGTTGCACAGCTTCAGCACAAGGATAACAACGTAGTAGCAGGGCTGGTGCAGATGTAGCGACCGTCCATAAAAACACGGCAGATGCATCTCGTATGGGGCAGAAGATGAGGACATGGGCTTAGAAGAGCAGTCAGGTGCTGATTACTTGGGTCAAGAGGTCAAGTGATAAGAGATAAAATTTGCCTAAAATAACAAACATTTTGCGCCACTCTTTATAACCCTGTGTCCTGACTTTTGGGCCACATTTTATAATAAGACTATGTGTCCTGACTTTTGGGCCACTCTGTATAACCCAATCTGTCTTGACTTTTGGGCCACCCTGTATAATAACCCTATTTGTTCTGACTTTTGGGCCACTCTATAATAATAACCCAATCTGTCCTGACTTTTTGGCCACTGTATAATAACCCTCTCGGTGCTGACTTTTGGGCCACCCTGTATATGCGTTTCCCTTGCTTTATACGGTAGTAGATGCATTCCAAAAAAGGGCACAAAAAGCGAATCTTACAGCATAGACCGCAGTCATCCACCCATATTACACCGCACAAGACACCACAGGAGGCAGGAGACAGTCTAGCAGCACATGCAGTACACACAATGTTGACACACATCCGAACACATAGCCACATGAGTGAATTCAATTAGATGTTTGCATTGAAATAGGTTTGCTGAATATACGTGAAGTCGCACAATCCGAATCCACATAAAGCATGGGAAACCTGGATATACAATTTAGAGGGCAGCTCTTCCTACAGTTGAAATAATCGTCCCCATTGGCTCAGTCCCTTTATCTAAACTATTATCTCTTTCCTGGTTTCTTCTCCAGCGTGGGCTCTGACCCGACTCGGTTGGCCACTCTCAACACAACCCAGATATCCTTGGTTCTTTCGGTAAAGTCACGTAGAAGGGAAACAATAAAATAATAACAAAAATAAAACAAAATTATCACGACGTTTCGACTGCAACACAAGTAATCATCACGATTGCTTGTGTTGCAGTCATGATTGCTTGTGTTGCAGTCGAAACGTCGTGAGAATTTTATTGTTTATATTTTTATTATTTTATTGTTTCCCTTCTACGTGACTTTACTGAAAGAACCAAGTATATGAATCCCTGCAGTCACGAAAGCTTTAAATCAAAATACAACCCAGATACTCACCAGTCGGCGGTGACGGTCACGTGTGGGCGTTTGTAAAATGCAGGAACCCTCCCATTGGTGGAGCGCCGAGTGGGGGAAGAAGCCGGCTTCCCATTGATGGAGACAGCCAGTGTTTTGAAATGCGTCATCACGCACGCCGTGTTGAAGTCGCCACGCACGCCGCCAGAACGTCATCACGCACGCCGCGGCGACGTCACCACGGCTCCCATGGCGGCAGGGGAGGCGGAGCTGCAGTGGTCCCTGCGGGAGGCGGCGCTCGGATTCCTGGACCGCGACGGCGGCCTCGCGTCCCTCATCGCCGCTTCCCGCCGCGCTCGCCGCGGTGCTGCTGCCTCACCCTGCACCGCACCGCGAAGCGGCATTCACAGCCATCGCGCTGTGAATGCCGGCAGAGGGGGCAGTGCAAAAAACATCCGCTGTTAGGTGCAGTGCTGCGCTGTACTTGCACTGCTGTTGGCCCCCAACATTCACCAAAGATCCCCCGTGTAGCCTTAACAGACTGTTGGGGCAAGTGGTGTTAGCGAGCAGCACCTACAAAGACAAAGATCCCCCGTGTAGCCTTAACAGACTGTTGGGGCAAGTGGTGTTAGCGAGCAGCACCTACAAATACAAAGATCCCCCGTGTAGCCTTGACAGACTGTAGAGGCAAGTGGTGTTAGAGAGCAGCACCTACAAAGACAAAGATCCCCCGTGTAGCCTTGACAGACTGTTGGGGCAAGTGGTGTTAGTGAGCAGCACATACAAAGACAAAGATCCCCCGTGTAGCCTTAACAGACTGTTGGGGCAAGTGGTGTTAGCGAGCAGCACCTACAAATACAAAGATCCCCCGTGTAGCCTTGACAGACTGTTGGGGCAAGTGGTGTTAGAGAGCAGCACCTGTGAAGGCCGGCACGACACACGAGGGGTGTGGGTGACCTGCACCCCATTGGCGATGATTTTTACTACACCGCACCAGTAACTCAATTGAGGCTGAGTCGACCTAGGGGAGGCCCAGGACCGATTCAGATAATCGTCACTGGTGTAGGCAGTGAGCGGGAATCGAACTCGGTCGCCGGGTTCGCAGGGCACCCACCCCGCACTGACCAGCGTGGTGAAGTATGGTCAAGTCACCCGCTCCACCTCAGACTGTGCAGTGGGTTGACCAAATGTCATGGCCACGGAGCTTGCATGATGAACACTCTACCGGAATGGGAGTTGTTCATTGGATGTTTTCATGGATGCCTCAGGAGAATTGTTGCAGGAGTGAATGTAGGAAGGCGCGTGTTGAGCGGTGGCAATGTTGCTGAGGCGATTTTAATAGATTCTTGGTGTCACCGAATAAATCCATGTTTCAACGGTCTAGTAAATGTCGCACACCGAATATGCCTCACGATGTATATTCATCACGCTATTGATATTTAGTTCCCCAATGGCTGCAATGGATTAACGCCATTTATTAATCTGCAAACCCCTCATTGAGTCTCAAGGCTCAATGGATCCCGCAATAAGAGGTTCCTGCAATAGATTGTTTGGCCAAATCCCATGAATGAGGGGTTATGTGGAAGCAAAGCATCCGTACCTGGAGACAGCTCTCCACGCAAGCGAGGGCTCAAGAGACCTGGATTCAGCTCATTTGCAAGAGCGACTTGGGTCATTGGTGTGGCAGTAAGGGGGGCGATGGCCGCTCCTGCTTTGTGTAATCCAAATTGGGCACATTTGTACCCCGAGGAAACACTCAAAGGTCGCCAAAAGGCGTACTTAAGACAGAGGACATATTTTGGCGTCGTCTGGTCTAACACCGTTATGAGACTAGGCTCAAAAGAAAGTTGTCTCTGGTGTGGACCAATCAGTTTCAAAGACAATGCATATATTATCAGAGTATGTTTTTCGTTTGCATTCTGAATACAAGTGTTGCGGTTAATGCAGACATGATTCCTTCTAAAAGATTTAAGTTTGGTGTTTTAACATCTTAACAACTGTTTTGTTGCCAGAAACAAGGGGAAAACATTCTCGCATTTAAAATATATTCAGCACTTTTTCCAGAACACGACTTTGTATGCAGAAAACCCGCAGATAAACACGGACAATTAGATGTCCGATTAATTTGCAGCGTGACCCCTCTTAGCTGTTAAACAAGTGCGGGCAATGGGCGTTTTCGTTTATATCTTTGGGGGTGTGAATGCTATAAACTATAGTGTGGCTCATTGTTCATGCATGGGCCAGTCGTCTATTCACCAATAGGTGGCACTGCTGGAAAGGGGGTGAGTGAAATGATTGTGTCCACTGAGTGCACAATACCATCTCCAAGTCATAAGTTACGAATCATTTCAGTTTCACTGATCTGGAAAATGTTTATATAATTTAAGGAGTGCCAATCAATAAATATGGAATTGACCAAACACCCCAACACAGGACCCTCCTGAAAGAGTCTTGAGAGGCAGTGAGATTTTTGTGTTTAAAGTGCAGCATTATTTAACTCCAGTGGTGGAAGCAGCATACACACGTGTGCATGGTGACAAAGTAAATTTGCAAGGACCAAATAAGATATGATTACAAATTATTCAGCAATCTTATTAAAATTTAATGTTTACAGTTAAACGATTAAAGTTATATTAGGGACTACATTTAATGGATAAATATATTTCATGATGCAAAAAAGTTATACGTACATTTTCTTCAACACTAAACGTGTACATTTGTAATACATAACTAAACTTCTATATACATGAAACCCGCTCAAAATAAATCCACATAGTTACAAGTTGCATGCACTTTCTTACGTACAATTATGTTCAGATGTTAACTAATTGCATGTTTCCAATGGGAAATTCCACATTTTGAATTCTACGTCTTAGAAATGGCAAAGATAATACAGCTCAAACGCTGTCTTTCCAGCAACTGAGATATACCTACACTATGTGTCCAAAGTTTTTAATGCATGAAGTACAATCAAGGGCAGGTGAAGACCATTTTAGCACACAAAATCATGTTCTAATATACATTCCAGAGTGTTCCACTCTTCAATGTTGCACGTAATAATATGTTATCAACGTTGTAGTCAAGGGATCATCTCTACAGTGATTGTATGAATGTTGAAAGTATCCAGCGTGTGCTCCTTGTCTCTTCTGCATCCTGCCTAAAGTAGCCGCCTGCGTGTTCCATTGCATTTGCACAACAGAGACGGTGCAGTCTGCTGCAGTCTTTCGCTTCGTCTTGAAGATTAACCCGTGCCACCTGACAGAGTGTGATGCAAGGCTGGGGAATATGGTGTTGAATCGGCCAATACAAGCAATGTACCTTTTTCGGAAGGTGGGCACCATCATTATCAGCCATTATCAATTCACTGTTGGATGAAGGCCTACCCAATCCGTCGCCATGTCTCACGGTCCACCGATGCAACATTGCATTTAGCAACTGCACACGAGTATATTTCACTGCTCCATTTCTGTGGCTGCCACAACATCATTGTTCCCGATCACCGGCCATCATTCCTTCGAGCAACCTGTCCTGTTTATTCTTATTACCAGTCAATGTGATGCCTCTAAATTGTGTAGTTCTCTAATCCGTGTGTTCCTCTTTCTGCCTCTCTCAGTGTCATTCCAAGCATGCGTCTCTCCATGGTTTGGGCACTTTTCTGTGTTTGTTCAATATTTTATTTAACGTAATCAATATCCATGTTTCTGATTCATATGTATTGCAGGTAATAACAATGATTATAGTGTTTCTGCTTTAGGAACATTTGTATTGCTTTACGTATGTTTCTTTATGGTATATTGCTTTTGCATTGGTATGTTGTTGTATGGATATCAGTCAAGAGAAATTCACATGGGGGACTGAAAACGACGGAAATGTTTTAGCATACTTACTTCTGTAATGAGTGGTTTTACGTATGTTTTCCATGTGCTCACAGGTCGTCTTTTTAGCCATAAAGGCCCTCTCTTTGATGGAATCCATAGAATGTGAAAACCAGGTTTGTAATAACATTCATTTTTTGAAGATTTATACAATTGTTATGCCTAAGACTTTTTGCATAAAGCAATGCTTAGATCTTAATATCTTCCACGTGTTTTAGCACAAAACTCATATCTGTCACGGTTCCTCATGTTTAAAATCACTTTTTCTGCAATGTGAAATGATGCAATGCAATGTCAACATGGGATAAATAAAGAAGGCATGGTAGCATGTGACTTCTTAAAACAAAATGGAATTCTTTACAGCTCATTGCCCTTATGTATGCAGCTGGGAGCAGTCTTTGTGGAACCCGCACATGTGTTCTCAATAAAAGACAGCTTTCTATTTCGTAAGGATTTGATCGAATATTGTGGCCCTCCTTCACACGTGGGACTGTATCACCAATCATTTCACGAGCCTGGCACCCATTGCATTTTCACAAAAGTTAAGAATGAACTGCGTTTCCCTCATGTGATCTATTTAAAAGTACTTTTGGATAATTACAACCACTTGAAATAAAGTTAATGCAAGGCCCATTGATGTAGAGTTATTTTTGAAATGGCTTGAGCAAACATTCCTGTCCGCCACGTACTTTACGCTATCAAGAGGCGATGAAAGGTAGCTGGGTGGCTCGGCGGGTGGGGGGTTGATGCCGATGCTTTTGTCACCCCACAAAGCCAGCTGTTAAACTCCCCTACTCAGAATCAATGCTTCCACCATCGCAGCTAACACTAGGTTCTCGTGTTGTATGGTAGCAGTGAGTCTGACATTCCTAGCCCAGTCGTGTTCCATGCTTTTCTGTCAGGCTGCCGACGTTTGGCAAGCACCGAGTGGAGCCTGGGTTTGTTCAATCCTTTGTCTCGCCTCATTTTTCTTGGTGGAAGATCCTGATTGTGCAGAGGCTGAGCCACGTGCCCCAGCTGCCGGCATACACTCTCAGCGCTGCCACTTTCCCCCGCGGTCTCCTGCCTCCGCGCTTCTTCTCCGTGGAAGGAGTGGTGGTCTCCGTTACGACCATCACGCAGTACACTCAGAGTGCACGCTTCCTGTGCTCAGAGAGAATGTGCCCAGCAGCCTCAGGTGATGGCGTCTTGCGCTCGCATTTGCAGTCCCTCATTACTGGTGGTCTATGACCAAACAAGCCAGACTGCCCTGTCTTGCTAGATCTGGGAAGCTAAGCAGATTTTGAGCCGGAATAGTGCTTGTAGGGCCGATGGCCATGCAGAATACAGGTGTTAAAGACTGATGTGGGGCTACATTGTGGGTAGTAAGGGTAAAATTGCGCTGTAATAACATGCAGCCATTTGCAGCTGTTATGATTCATAGTTGATGTTTGGGCTAGAAATTGATAAATTTGTTTTGGAAAATTATATTTCAACTTCCTGGTGAGTTGAACCGATAATAATTGGCCCGTTAAACACTTTTACTGTACACACGTCAATTTTATTTATTTGGCTATGTCGGGTGGTGGAAGGTCAGACTACAGACGTCTATGCTCCCCACCTTCACCAGCACACACTGGCAAGTATAGTTTCTGTATGGTCAGATGTTCCCCTATTACCCGCATGGCCTGGTGTGGGGAATGTTATCCATCAGTGGACTGACAGAAGGGCTGTACAAGGTTGGGTGGCTCAGTGGAGATCATGGCTAATCCCAAACAGCCCTAGGCTCGTTCCCACAATGAGATTCAAGCAGGCATCCAAGATGAGGCCCTCCTGAAACAAACCTTTAGAGTTCGATAATAGTTCAAAGCCCTTTTCAATCTACTGCTAGGTGAAGGCCTAACCATACCAGGTCAGTCATAGGGGGTGTTTTAACTACAGTGGTCAGTATAAATAATAACAATGATATATTTTAAAATATTGACTCTGACTGCTGTTATCAAAACTTAAATTTCTCAAATTTCCTGCCCAAGAGCAGGTTCATGGTTTAAGCTTTATCCCATCCAATCTCACAGCCCATCTTCACCTCATTGCTCCACACTCAATGCTGGGTTCTTGAGCCCTGAACGGAGGATGGTTAAGGTGCCCTCCCTTTGCTTCCTCAAGTGCGTTTTTTTAATTATTATTCTTGAACCCAAAGATCAGGAGTCATAGAGGGGAACCTCAATTACACCATCGATGTATGCAGTTTAATGTCATTGTATGTATGTATGTTGAACCTCTCGCACTATACCCAGCCAAACGTGCTAATCGGATATCATATAATTACTTGATTCTGTAAGATTATTAACTCGTACCTGTTATACTTTCACTCTTTTTGCTGCTGGCTGCTCAGTGCTGTGGTCTTAAGGCCCTCTGCTAAGCAACTGTAATTAAACGGTGTTAAAGTTATCTCGTACCCAATTGTCAAAGGCTATCGGCACATCCGCATCCACTCCCATGGCGCCAACGAAGCCTCAACCATGCGAAGCAACTTCACGTGCTCCCTGTGTGGTGCCAGCATGGACGAAGATGTCAAGTGCAGGACCATAGGAGGTCTGTGCTGCTGCTATCCTTTTTTGGAGTTCCATCCTTTCGGATTTTTATCACCTTGTGTTACGTCACAAGGTGAAGAAATCCGCTGAGAGCTTTCGCAGATAAGAACGTCGTGAGAATTTTATTGTCTTATTTTATTTTATTTCATTATTTTATTCTCATTCTACGTGACTTTACCGAAAGAACCAAAGAAGATAAGAACTGCCCAGACAGCGGGCAAAAAAGAAAATTTGCCCAAAGACTTCACGCAAAAGAGGACCCCACAACTGTCTGCTGTCTCATATGAGTAAGGAGGCTGTGGGCATCCAGCAACTTCTGGGCGGCCCTGCCCACGCAGACCCATGTGTCCTGCAGAAACATGATTTTTATGACGCTATTTTTGAGCTCCCTTCAATTTATTTTTAGACAGTGCACACCTTCTTCGGTTACCTTACTTTGAGATACGTCTGTCGTGTGACAATCGCACCGAAATATTAAATTTTCAGAACTGTAATTTCGCCAAATTCAGTGTTGGGAAAAAATGATAGGGACATTTTTTTGTTTAACACGTAGGCTTTCGCGACCAATATCATCCATAATAGAGGTTTTTGGGTTAGATTGCGTAAATATAAAAATGTGTCGTGAAAACCCGCCACCACCCAACACAGCCAACTAGTAACGATTGTCACGTAAACAGAACATGCCAATTCGTCATTAGTGTACAGCACACTGGTGTGTTGGAGAGCCAAGCCACAACATTTACAAACTGAGTACGACGTTTCGCCAGTAATTACAACTATCTTCATCAGGCGACAGCCAGATTTGTGGAGAGGTTTTATTGTTTCGTTCCTTATATAGAGGTGTAGATGTGTTGACCACCCTTCTGCGCTCTTGCACAATGTGGGGGTGGGGGGGGGTTGATTACTGAGGCAACGTACATTTTGCATGTGCATTATGCGAGCCCTTTGAACTTGTCCTTCCTGTCTATTGTGTTTATTCAAATTGCCCTACCAACGGTAATCCCTATTGAAGTACGCTGCCCTTTGTAGGCATGCATTTAAATAATTTATTATTTGATTATTCGCTTCCACGCAACACTAAGACGGTAGCTATCAGAACGGTTAAAGTTATTTTGATTTCTTTCAATTTCGATAGATTCTCTAATTAGTCTTGGCCAGTGGTAGCTAGTTTTGCACGAAACTTCAACATCAAAATCAATTGAGTGTCCTTGTTGGCACGCATGTTCTGCTACCGCTGACAGTTGCATTTGGAAGAATTTAATATTTCTCTGATGTTTTTTTAGTCTCGTGCTGATCATTCGTCCTGATTGCCCAACATAACATTCACCACACGTGCAGTTAATCCTGTACACACCTTCTGTTGATAGCTTCGGTAATACATCTTTTGTACCAGATGTTAAATTCTGTATTTTGTGTACCATGACAAATCTGACTCGGATGTTTTGTTTTTCCAAACATCTGGCTAGTCTATCAGTTACTCCCGCAATGTATGGTATTTTGATCGTTTTAATTGCTGAGTGCTGCGTGGAAACGAATAATCAAATAATACATTATTTAAATGCATGCCTTCAAAGGGCAGCGTACTTCAATGGGGATTACCGTTGGTAGGGCTATTTTAATAAACACAATAGACAGGAAGGACAAGTTCAAAGGGCTCGCATAATGCGCATGCATAATGTATGTTGCCTCAGTAATCCCCCCCCCCCCCCACATTGTGCAAGAGTGCTGAAGGGTGGTCAACACATCTACACCTCTTTATAAGGAACGAAACAGTAAGACTTCTCCACAAATCTGGCTGTCGCCTGATGAAGCTAGTTGTAATTACTGGAGAAACGTCGTACTCAGTTTGCAAATGTTGTGGCTTGGCTCTCCAACACACCGATGTGCTGTTCTAGTGACGAATTGGCATGTTCTGTTTACGTGACAACCCTTACTAGTTGGCTGTGTCGGGTGGTGGCGGTTTATAACGACACTGATATATTTACGCGATCTAACCGAAAAACCTCTATTATGAAAAAAATACATGAATACAATAGGTTGTTTGCTGTAGCAGTCATTGTGTTTTCATCACTGAGGAATTACTCAAATAGATAAATACACTGGTTATAATAATTCAATGATTTGTGTATTTTTTTACAGTTTTTGTTCAGTCTCGGATAGAGAATATGATTCAGATGCACGGGAAACCACAAAGAAGTGGGAATACAGACAGAACCACCGCCAACTGTGTACTTAAGCTCTGTGGTTCTACATTTGGATGTTTGGCAAATAACATTCTTGTGGACCACAGTTACATGTAATGACATAAGACAAACCTAATATTGTTATTTCTGACTTAAAGTGTCGCTAGGATATGAGATACAAACCGCTGGATTTCCATCCAATGCTGTTTACGTTGACTCTATTGTTATTGTTAGTGAAATGTAGATGCAATCAGCCGTGATGGTTGTGTGTACACCATTTTGTGTCTGTTCGTATTTCAACGAACCTCATCACGCTTATACAACCAACGCCGGGAAGCTACTGTGTGGGAGTTGCACGAGGATATAAATTGTATTTGTAATTTTTAAAACAATTACTTTTATTGCCCCCAATTCCATCGTTCCACCATGGTTTCTTTGAAACCGACAATCTGTGTACTTGCATACGCGCTCTTCGTGTTCACTTCAATCCGTGTGTTCACGGTGATGTGGAGAACGGTTAAAGCGTCCGAGTGTGAATCGTGGATGATGATTTGTGAACCGGCAGACAAACAGCTCGTAGAGGTGGTAGATCCCGCAGCCCTGGCTACGCTGCGCGGGGCTCCCCGAGGCGCCCGTGCTGTCCGACACCAAGCATTCACCGTCTTCCTGCGCGGTGAGGCAGGGGTGCTCTGCAGCCGAGCCAAATCACAATCACGTGCAAGCATACACACACCACTTCATTTCGCCCTCAGGTATAAGGTAACAGAATCCAAGCTGCGCTGCGCCGAGGAAACATTCAGTTCTTGTGGACAATAGAGCCATTGTCCAGGCTTGCACAATTCATTATCGTTCAAGAGCCAAGTTGGCATTCACGAGCATGGTTAGACAGTGGTTGCATTTATATTAATCAAACCTGTAAATGCTGAGGAAAAAAACTCCATATTGAAACATAATAATAGTGCAGGCCTGAAAACCCTATGTTTAAAACAACAGTAACACACATTGTGTAAAGAGCTCAGATCCTTTTGTGCATTATGCAAAAAAAAGCATCAGCAATGCAAAAAACCTTCAGCAACTATGCTGATGTTTTTCACCATCTGACCAGCTGATCAAATACCATCTGACCAGTTGGTTTCACAAATGCATGACCCTGCAGACTTGAGAGTCCTTCTGCAATGGGCACAGGCAGAGAGAGGGAGAAAGGATGGGTGGTATGAAGTTAGTCCAGATCAGCATGATTGCTGATGGTCTTTGCTTATGACTTATGGTTGCTGAATATGCACAAAGGGTGTGTGCCTCTTACAGATGTTTGCCTGTTGTTGGAAACTTAGAATAGAGGAAACAGGAATATTCATTTTGAGACTATACATCTCGACATGCTGAGGGCTTACAAATAACACAAACAACACTCTGCATGACGCACAAGAGTAGATCACTGTGTCATGTTATCATCGCCCAAATTAGAAAATATGCTGTAGCCACGTTTATTTATGTGGTTTTCCTAGTTGTGTCACGATGCCCCAGTGATATCACCTATGACTCAATCACCCTGAATGCACCCGATCTTATTACATTGTAGAAGATATGCAAAGTTGAGACTGGTTTGATGGGAGACTGCCTATGAATACCAGGTGTTGGAGGCTTGGGCCACGACATGTTCAGGATATAGAAGTACAGATATTCATTAAACGTATCTTCGCAGAGCTTAGAGTGTGATAGTTATCCCACTTGTATGTGAGGATTTTCTCTGGGCACTGTGGTTTGCTCCTACAATCCAAACACTCATGGAATTTGGCCAAACATTCTAGTGCAAGACACTTTTATAAATAGTTTGAGACTCAATGAGGCTTCCGTAGGTAAGGGACATTGTTGTTTGTTACATGCATTTATATGAGAGCAAGCTTTAATAACAATACGGCAATAATGTACAGCCCTTTTCAAACCACTGCTGGATGAAGGGCGCTAAACGCTGTCAGTCATAGGGTGGTTTGACCATACTTCACCACACTGGTCAGTGCAGGTTGGTGAAAGGTGGGGGCCAAGACTGGTTCACGTATCATTCACCACTGATGTTAGCCCTGCTCACAGGTCTCTGAGTGCATGGCACAGTGCGCTAACCAATTTGCCACTGCTCCGTAAGCTTTGACCCTCCAGCATTGGAGATGCAACAGGCTGGTCTCTGGTTTGTGTGGCACCAGGTGACAACTTTGTGCTTCTGTTTCGACAGATGAACTGACCAACAAGGCAGAAATGGGTGGAAGGTATGTCATATGCGGCATTCCAGGGAATGTCGGCACTGGAACGGACACGATGTTCTGCATGGAAGCGAGTAATGTGCAAATGCACGTCACGGCAGGTAAGTGTAGTGGGCTGACCGTGGCTACACGCTCCAGTTTGAGATGGCCGGACCCCCCCTATTGGGTCTTCCAATGTCACATAAGAGACACTGTATGAAAATGCAACCAGCGCTGGGCCTACTCGGGAATGCAACGATGCATCGGTTCGCCGAATAAAATTGATTATTACGCTCGCGACACTTGCATTGAATCATGCACGTGAAATGTAATGCACAGTAAATAATTATTTTGTGGTTAAGATTGTTGAAGTGAACAGAAATTCACAAACAGAACAAGTTACAACACAAAGAGGCAGTAATAATGAGGACAATAAAGAATTCACAACCCCGAACTGTGACAATTCACTCGCAAATTGGGGAAGTGAATCTTTCCATGGCATAGCCACATGACTCATCATCACTAACCCTAAGATGCCAAATTGGAGAAAATTTTAGCAACTGGGACAAATTAAAAGCCAGTGACAACATCTCTCCTGAGCAATATAGTTTTGGCAGAATATAAAATGCAATTTTTTTTTAGGAGATAAGTATAGAGCATATATATGCACAACCAAAAGTGGTTGCTGCTGGCACTAAATCTATCCTATAGCTAATGGGAGTTTCACAGCCAATTCATCCTATTTCCCACGATATCCATGAGTTATTTTCACGGATAATAGGATCTGCCAAGAGCGCCCCCCCCCCCCCCCCCCCCCCCCCCCCCACGTGAGTTCACTGTGCAGGAGAGTTTCACTGTGGACACCTCTGTGTGCTAGGACCACGCGACTTGCCGGCAGGGATGAAGAACCTGCACGCCAGGATGTGCGGATCCCCCTGGGCGTTTGCCGCGTGCCTCGCTCACGCTTTCGCCGCCGAAGCGACGCCACCCGGCACCTACAGCGCCCTGAAGCTGGTGCTACTGCTCAGCCTCCTGCACACGAGCGCGGACGGAAGCGCCAGCAAGGACTTCCTGGACCTGCTGGTTATTGGCAGAGAAACCCTGGTGATCGGCAGGTAAGGCCACTTTTAGGTCCATGTGTATGTTGAAACTTCTTTTGCTCCATACGTAGCCAATCATGCTAATTGGAGGTGCGGAGTGAAGAACAACAAACTAAACACAAAAAGCCAGTTATAAAGAAATTCGATTTCAATCTAGATGATTTAAAAGTGCACAGCTCCAATGGCTTCCTAATATCGGAAGGAAGAGTATTATAGAAGTTCACGGAAGCGCATCTCAAGGCACGTATTGCGGTAACCGTTTTTAATACTTGCGTACTAATTATGACCGTGGGTGAGAAGGGATGGCAGCAGTGTGGTGGTCAGCGGGGATTAGTGGGCATACAAGGATACATTGATTCTAATCTGTTATTACGCTCACATACATGCCCGGGAGATGCAGCTACTCTCCTATGGGAATATAATTGGTTTAGCGTGACCCCCCACAGTCACTAGAGATGCTTCAAACATCTACTTAGTTCTTTCGGTAAAGTCACATAGAAGGGAAATAATAAAATAATAAAAATAAAACATAGTAAAATTTAATTCTCACGACGTTTCAGCCACAACACAAGCAGCCGTCTTCAGGTGACGAAACAACTGTCAGAAAGACAGTGCTCCAATGAACACTGCTAAGCTTGACAGCGTCTTTTAAGCTGGGTGGGAGGAGCAGAACGCCTTGACAAAGGAGTTTACATATCAACAGAATAATTTAGCATTGAAGTAGCGTAGTTAATGTGATAGATTAGCAGGATGTTAAAGTCAGAAATTAGCATGTAAATGCGAGATTAGCATGATGTTAATGTGAGGAATTTGCATGTAACTGGTCACGTAAGTAGCTATGTTAAAGTCAGAGTTTACATATCAACAGAGGCATTTAGTATATTGATGCTAAAGAATTGCAACTACCCAACTATCATATAATAAACCGATGTGAAAGAACTAAATATACACTACATCAATATAATCAATGTACTCAATATATTCTCCAATAAGTTGAGCTATTAACATTAAATAACTGGGCATACACTACACTATATAATGAATACCATATAGTAAACTGATAAAAAACAAATATAAACTACATCAATATTATCAATAAACTCAATATACTCTTCAATCAGCTGAGCTACCAGCAATAAGTCACTATACATTACAATTCTATATCGGAAAAAAGTAGCAGTTTCTTTTCAACGTTAGCACCACGGAAAGCGGCGAGCGTTGTTCAGATGGACGAGTCCATCTATGCTCGGAACGGAGGAGGGGGGAGAGAGAGAAACAACCACGGTGCGCTACTCTGTCCTGTGCTGCATTACAACTATGCTATAAACTAGACTATTATACATTACAATATTATACCTTCTAATCTAAACTACACTGTATAATATCGTATATACAGCCCAATGTAAGCTCTAACATTATGCATTATATTTATATGCCTCTAACTAAACTTTTTTTTACATTACACGACTATACACCATACTATACACTGCCATAGACAAACCCACCATTGAATTATACAATCCGTTACTATACACTACCCTATACTTTAGACTATAATAATATTAGACTTGTAATATTACACTGTATTATTCTACCAACCCTACTGTATACCACACTGCTGTATATTCACTATACAATTACGATACTATATTGCTTTATAAATTATATTAAACATTACACTGTTATACTATTTTTTATTATACAATATGTTATAACCATACCATTGACCGTCGCGTGAAAGGTATTAAGAGGCAATGCCAGCGAATGGACTGCGGTCTGAAAGTCACCATAAAACACAATCAATCAAGAACCGAAATGGTTTATCACATCCTTCCAATGATTACTAAGCCAGAATCCATCGTCTCGGCTGAAATTGTCTCTGTGTTTGCGGTCAGAGATATGTCGTTTGGTTTCTCCAATGTAACTGCGACCACAGAGGCAATATTACACCCGGGTACTGTATGAATCGGACCTGGATCTTGTGTTTATTCAGGATTTTGGAGATCTTTTTTGTGACCCCCGCAATGTAGGGTAAGGTGATGGTTTTGAATGGCTCCTCAAGAGGTTCCTTCTTCATGGTTGGAGTGATGGCTTTGCGGATTGTGTAGTCGGAGTAACCATTAGCCTTGAGAGCTTGGTGTACGTACTTGAGTTTACTGGCAATGTGTTCCTGGTCAGAGATGCATTTGGCTCTATGATGTAGAGTCTTGATAAGGGAATTCTTCTGGGATGGATGGTGGTGGGAATCCGGTTTTAGGTAAGCATCCGTATGGGTAGCTTTCCTGTAGACAGAGTGGCTCATTGAACCATCAGGTCTCCTTTAAATTAGTACATCCAAAAAGGGTAGCTTACCATCTTTTTCGACTTCCATGGTGAATCTGATGGCTGGGTGTATGGAATTGATGTGGTCGAGGAATTGGTCTAGAGCCGGCCGGCCATGTAGCCAGATGACAAAAGTGTCATCCACGTACCTCTTCCATAAAGTCGGGTGTAGAGTGGCAGTCTGGATGGCGCCAGTCTCAAATTTCTCCATAAAAACGTTGGCTACAACCGGAGGTAGGGGGGAGCCCATTGGGGTGCCCTCAGTTTGTTTGTAGAAAGTTCAATTCCAGGTGAAGTATGTGTTGGTTAAGCAGTGTCTCACCAGGGGGGGGTACATCAGTATGCAGTCCTTGATAAACCAAGTCTTCAATGATTGCGATGGTGTCAGGTACAGGAACTTTGGTGAATAAGGAAACCATACCAAAACTGACAAGCAGGTCGTCTGGGGACAGGGAAATACCCTTGATTGTCGATACCAGGTGAGTAGAGTTTAGTACCGCAGAGGTGTTTTTTCCAGAAAAAGGCTGCAGGATTTCAGACAAAAAAACGAGCTAGTTTGTAGGTGGGGGAGTTGATAGAGACAATGGGACGAAGGGGTGTATCTTCTTTATGTATCTTTGGAAGGCCATATAATCTTGTTGGCCTGGCCACAGAAGGTTTCAACGAGAACTGTTTGGTTTGATCAATTAATGCGGTTGAATCAGAAATGATTTTGTTGGTTTTAATGACGAGGCTGTTGGTGGGGTTTCTTATTTTTGTATAGCTGCCATCGTTGAGTAGTTCCTGAATTTTGTTATATTCTATTTTGTCCATAATGGCAGTGGCATTGCCCTTGTCGGCTGAGAGGATGACAATGTCATCCCTCTTTTTTAATTGAGATAATTTAAAACGCTCATCTTTGCTGATGTTGCTAGCTGGCATCTTAGCAGTGTTCATTGGAGCGCTGTCTTTCCGACAGTTCTGTTTCGTCACCTGAAGACGGCTGCTTGTGTTGTGGCCGAAACATCGTGAGAATTTTATTTTATTATGTTGTATTTTTTATTATTTTATTATTTCCCTTCTACGTGACTTTACCGAAAGAACCAAGAAGATGAATCCATGCAGTCACGAAAGCTTTAAATAAAAATGTATGCTTCAAACATGTAAATGACGGGAAAACCCATCACAACATGAAAATTAGTGCAGGCCTGTGTACATATAGTTTTTGACCGACCCCAACTGGACATCTGTGGAAAAATACATTCATAGCCAATTGGATTTAACCAGGAAAAATACAGATTATGATTCTGAAGATGTGCATTGCATATACTAAAGCTGTGGCCTTACATATGTAGCGCCGGAGATGGGCCACACTTACCTGCAGTGGTCGACAGGGCCCATCAAGGGCGGTACCTTGTACCGGCAGGGGAGTTGCTGCATTGCCCAGCCCAAAGGCAGGAGGGGCTCCGGGGTGTTCTGGGATCCCCCGCTGCCCCTCCCCACGGGAGGGGGCTGCGGGGTGTTCCAGGAGCCCACGCAGCCCCGCCCCTCGGTGGGAAAGGTGTATATACGCGGACCTCTCCAGAGGTTCGGGCCCAGTCCAAGACAGAAGCCAGAAGACCAGCCAGCTTAGGACCCTGGACCCCCTAGCCCCGCTGTCCTTGTAAGGGCCGGGGCTCTGTGCGGACCAGTGGTGAGACCCTGGGACTCCCGGCCTGACGTCCTTGTAAGGGCCAGGTCCAAGGAAGCCAGTGGTCTAGACCCGAACCTTGGCTGGGTCAGGTCACTTAGCCTCCCATAGTTAATTCGTAGCCGGAGGACCTGAGAGCGTAGCCGGTGTCAGGCACGCTAGACGTAGGCTGAGTCCCTAGTCTGTATACTAAGGTCTGTTGCTGTTGTGCGTTATAATAAACGTGTCGCCTCTACAAGTGTCTCCGGAACTCACTACACATTATGCTAAACCACCAGTTCAGAAGAACTGCATTGTGGTCATTCTGCCTTAAACCACTATCAATAAATTGAGAAAATGTGGAGACAAAGACACAACTGTGGACCTAAATTTCGATTTAAAGCTTTCGTGACTGCAATGATTCATCTTCTTTGGTTCTTTCGGTAAAGTCACGTAGAATGAGAATAAAATAATAAATTGATAAAATAAAATAACACAATAATATTCTCACGACGTTTCGGCCACAACACAAGCGGCCTTCATCAGGTGAAGGGAGCGAGACTGTCTGGTAGGACAGCGCTGGAGTGAGAGAGCCACGTTCAGATCACGGCTTTTAAGCTGTGTGAGAGGAACAAAGAGCCTTGACGAAGGAATTAGCATAAAATTTAGCATTGAAAAGGCTGAATGATTAGCTTGTGACTGGTCACAGAAATAGCTATGTTAAAAGTTAAAGCATACACATCCGCAGAGGCACCCATTGTTAAAAGGAATTAGCATAGAATTTAGCATTGCAATAGCTAAATTAAGGCATTCGCTTGTAACTGCTACAGAAATAGTTACGTTGAAGTCAGAGCATACACATTCACCGAGGCACTTAGTACAAATCAAAACAGGAGAATTTAGCATTGAAATAACTAGGCGAATTTAGCATTGAAATAACTGGGTGATTTGCTAGTGACTGGTCACAGAAATGACTACAAATCTGAGCTATTCACAGTACTATATAGTGAACCAATAAAAACTAGGACTCATCAGTGCAGTATAGTCATCGATGTTCACTGCTGCCATCTGCCTCTGAGAACCTCATATATTAAGAGGGCTAACCTTTATGCTATGGTGACCCATTAACATTGATTACTGTACTGTGCTTATGAAGGGTGACACAATTATGCATTTGTCTCACTGCTACCTTTATTGTACAGCTATTGATAATTGTGCTGTGACCATCAATTAGCATGGTTGGCTGTGTACAGTGCGAAAGAAGTAAAAAATACACATATCAACTTGCTACCCTCGTGAACTAAAGATTAACCACAAGTGGGTTTAATCCAGATTCAAACCCTAAATCCAAGCAGTGCCGAGTTATGACTGTGTTCTGTTATTAGCCCTCTGCGCCACCTGGCCACCTCTGCCAACGGCTGTATCATAATAACTCATGTAACGTATTTACCCAGGAGATTCGCATTGGTCTTTGGCAGTGGTGGCTCACCACCACGATTGGAGCGGACGCTTTTTTTTTGTTGCAGGCTCCTGAGCTACGCGGCTGGGCTGGTGGAGAGAGGCGTCCAATGCCCGCCCAGCGGGGAGCTCCTGGCCTCTGTGTCGAGGGATGAGCATGGCACGGCCACGGCAAGCATCCATGCCGGACATGTCCTCCTGGCCAAGGGTGGCATCTGCTGCATCGGCGAGACGTCCTCGTACAAGAAGGAGAAGCTGCAGGCGCTTCAGAATGGTCAGCAGTCGTAGCTCGCTATTCCTCTGCACCTGCTATTCCACTGCACTCGCTATTCCACTGCGCTCGCTGTTCTACTGTCCCCGCTGTTCCACTGCACTGGAAATTACAGGCCACGATGAATTTCTACCATTCAGGGTGCTGATCTGGTTCAATAATATATTTCTTAGTGTCCCGTTTGGGTCGTCTGTCTCATTTGGTCTATTTGTCTATGTTTAACATGTGAAATTAATTTGCACAAATATAAAATATTCCATTTTCATGTGCGCAATTAGATGCGTATTTCGAGAGCATTAGAACCATTTTCATTCAAGGAACCATTACGAGCATGTGTTCTGCTTAATGAGGCAGGTCAGGGTGGTTTATTTACATTGTTTAGTTTCCAAGGGAGATCTGCAAAACTGCTGAAGGAGGAAATTTTATCGGTTTTCTTTTGTTATTTTGTTGCAATAAATTTTCAGTTTAGAATATGTTATGAGTGTCACTGAAGAAAAATCACCTACTTTTTCAAAACTGCCCAAATGTGTGATGATACTGGGTGAGCGGATTCATGGAATGTTGTTTAAAATACAATTCATCCTCAGGTAATAACTTATTTTGGAAGCAGAAAAAATTTCTGGATAATATGATGTACTATCTGTGAACTGAATTTTAACATAGAATGTTTTTATAGATTACACACGGACAAAATTTCATGCTTAATCTAAGTTTTCTTGTGGTTCTTGTTGTTGTTTGACTTGCATCCCACTGGGATTTTTTGCACATAGCATCGGTGTACGGTACTTTTTTCAGGAATATTTTGCTGGTTTTTTTTTCATGGGTTTTCTGTTTGCACAATCACATAGTCACTTTAAGATGTTTTCTTGTTCGTGTTTTTGTTTTTTTGTTTGTTGTGGTTGCACCCGATTCAAGAGCCGAATGGCTCACAGGGCTATACCAAATATATGAACTAAATGAACTAAATGAACAGCTCCTGTGTTATTTCCAGAAAGGGTAATACATCCTTTTCTTATTTTTTTCCCTCATTTTAATACTAGCAAAAAAAGGTCTCATAGGTAGACGGACAGTCCTTGACTTACGGACACAACTTGTTCCCGAGACCTTTTCATAAGTCCAACGGTTTGCTAAGTCGAACACAGAAATCTACTGTATTTAAATGTCAAGACACACAAATACTCACTCCCAGCACGAGGCTGACTCATTACATCTCACAAATGATCGCTCGGCTGAACAAAATAGTGCCATGGTTCCATTCGCAAGTGAGAGTACGCTTTTTAAGTCAATGTAAAAAAAAAACATGGAAGCTGGTTCGTAAGTGCGGGTGTTCATAAGTGTGGGTGTTCATAAGTCGAGGGCTGCCTGTAATGGCCCTGCTTGTTTAGCGCCACGGTGCGTGATGTGTCTCTTGTGACGTGACTGCACATCCTTGCCACCACTCAGCGCTAGAGAGCCGCCTGGTGTCTGTGCCCATTCCCAAGAAGAAGTTTGGTGAAGAAGTGGCCCAGGAGGTTCAGCTGCCCATGAGCTGCAGCGTGTGGGCCCTGGGGGGTGATTCTGCGGTGCTGCTGAAGAAGACGGTGGGGTTGGGGGGTCTGTGGGACGATGCCCCCCTGGGTACCAGGGTATTTCCACTCCCACCCTCTTGCGATGCGATTAATCATCACGATTCAGTTCACGTTGATTTAATACGTTTTTTTACATTGTAGCGGCCACTAGTGGCTGCATCGTTCATAGGAACCCATTGCATAAATGACATGCATTGATTTATTATGTAGGTGTTCACAGCCGATATAATGATTCGTAATTGTTTTTTTGGGTGAAGCCTCATGATGATTTGACCGGATTTGTGTCAATAGGAACAAAACATTTAATTTAGTTTGGCTGTGTCGGGTGGTGGAGGGTTCTTAATGATATAGATTTGGTCAGTGATTCCATTGCCTAAAGTAAGTATGAATCAACATGTATATATTCATATACAGCCCTCTGGTAGATTAACTGCTGCATGAGGGCCTCCCCATGCCACGTAGGTTACTTACTTATCTGGCCATACCTCCCCACGCTGGTTAGTGCAGATTGCAAGGTGTGCACATTTTGTAGCATAGTAAAGCAATGGATTTTGCTGTGAGGCACAATTGTTGCCACTGCTACACTTATGCAACCCAGTTGATGGCCCGTCCTTGACGGGTTTTGCCTGCTTTTGCCTGCTTTCGTTTTCTCATCGAACTAGGAGCTGGGCCTCATCCCGCTGCCGCTTGCTGACTCCTTTGGCCTCATCGTCTTCTGTGAGGGCAATGAGTCGAGCGACGACGGAGCGTGCAGGCTGTTGGCCGAGCACACGCTCAATAAGGCGATGCTTGCCAACGAGCCCGTTTATAGCATCCCGGAGCAGATCACGACTCGGCATTTTGAAGAGGTGTGTGCTGCACGCACGCGAGAGTGACGCGGTCTGTGCGTGTGCGTGCACGCGCCCGTGTGACACGTAAATTGAAAACTCATTTCCTGAATTTAAAACTCATTTCCTGAATTTAAAACTCATTTATTTGGAACTGCTTTTTGATGTTTAGTTTGTTGTCCTTGGCTATGTACGGTGCAAAAGAAGTTCAATATACATAATACACCGCACCTCTGATTAGCATGGTTGGTTATGTACGGTGCGAAAGATGTTCAACATACATACATACGAGAATGAGTCTCAACGCATGCGGAAGGCTGTGGATGTGTAACACGTGTGTGCTCGTATCAAAACGTTTCTGCATGCCTATAGATATGTATATGTGTACGTATGTATAGGATAGCGGTAGTGTAGTGGTTAGCATGTTGCGCTACGAACCCGGTGACCCAAGTTCGATTCCCATTCATAGCCAACACCAGTGATGATTATCTGAACCAGTCCTGGACCTCCCCTAGGTCGACTTAGCCTGAAATTAGTACCTGGTCTGGTGTGTGTAAACATTGCTATTAGGGAGACAAAGGTGGCCAGGCGTGGTGGTGGGTACCCATTCCCTCATGTGCCATGCTGGTTTTCATAAGTGCTCGCGAATAGCACTTGCCCCAACAGTCTGTTTAAGAAATTCGGGGGATCTTTGTGTTTGTTTGTCAATGTATATATGAAGTTAATACTTGCTCGTTCATATCAGTATCAACCCATGTATGTGCATTAGCGGTTAGAGCACAACACTTCATTCCCACGACCCGAATTCAAATTCTGGCACGGCACAGCAGTAACAATTGAGTTTTGAATCTGGCTCTGGCTTTCTCCAATTTAACACAGCATGAAAATAAATACCTTCGTACATTGCGGTCAAAAACACCAGCCCTGCAGTGGCAAAGGCATCTTGGGTACATGCTGGTCACACCACTGCTGTTGAACTATTACAGCCTCACAACAGTACAGTTTGGATTTAAATGGTCTATAATTGTGACGGCATCTCAATACATTGTGTAGTCTATGAGCCCAGAGCAGATATTTCTCTTGTCGGTACCACCTGACGTGGCATAACAGAAATGGTTCTAATTTCTTTGTGTGGCCATAACGGTGATTACGTGATAATCTCATCAAGTGAGTGGAGTTATCAAATAATACGCTTGTATTGGCTAGCTGGACTTGAACAGAGGCGGGGCGTCAACAGCACAGATGGCTGGAGGAATGGAGTTCCACAAGTGAATAAGCGATCTCCCACTTATTCAGTGAAGGCTGTGATGGGAACCTTTCATAGTTGAAACGGAGAATGCGTGGAGAGGAGTTGATTGAGATCAGAGGGAATAGGTAGAAGAGTGTGCAGAGGGGAGCAGAGTGAGATAAGTGTGGAGACGTAGGAGCGTGCGTGGACGGGAGCAGAGGGAGATGAGTGTGGAGATGTAGGAGCGTGTGTGGAGGGGAGCTACGAACTTGGCAACCCAAGTTCCATTCCTGCTCTCGGCCAACACCAGTGACGATTATCTGAACCGGTCCTGGGCCTCATCTAGATCGACTCAGTCTCAAATGAGTATCTAGTGTGGTGTGTAAACTCTGGGGAGACAAAGGCGGCCGGGCGTGGTGTTGGCCACCCACCCCCTCGTGTCCGTACCGGCCTTCATTAGTGCTCGCTAACAGCACTTGCTCCAAAAGTCTGTTAAGCCTATACGGGGGATCTTTGTCTTTGCTTTAAGGGAGATAAGAGGGGAGAGGAAGTTCAATGGGGGTCTTGAAGACCGTACGTGTGATCTTGAAATTGATTTGGGATTGTATTGTGAGTTAGTGGAAGTATTGGAGTATTGGGGTTATGTGTTCTAGTTTACGGATACAGGTGAGAAGTCTGAGAGCACTGTTTTGGATAATATGGCATTTGAAGACGAGAGAGTTGCAATCGTCAAATCAGAATGTGATGAATGGCAGATGCAGGAGATGTGCATGAGTTCCTGCGGAGTTGATATGCATGGGGAGACTAACGACACACTTGCTCGAGCCGTCTGTCCCTTTTCATGCACCAAGAATAAGGACCATTTACCGAGGTGTCACCGATTATGTTTTTTTGTCATCTCAGGCAGTGTTACGGATGAGTGTATTGAGTTTTTAATTGTTATTTGAGCTTGTGCACTGCTGCCAACGCAGTGTCACCAAACAATGTGTCCCATTTAAATGTGGGTCAAGGTCCGTGTGCGTGTGTGTCCGTGTATACTTTCTCCTTTGCAGCTGGTGGAGTTTGCCAGAGCGCAGCCGTGTGAGCTGTGCCCCAGCGCCGAGCAGCTTATCCAAGGATACTACCTGTCCAGCCGGAGGCTGCGCGCCTCCTCCACGCATGGCTCCAACTTTCCCTCCACTGCACTCCGGACCCTGTGAGACAAGAAGGCATTCTCTTTGGCCGTGTTGTTTTTGTCCCCCCCGCTGTCTCAGACATAGACGCTCAGACTCCCGGGTATCACCGGGAAAAGTGCAAATACCCGTTTCGCATAGGAGTTTCTGTAAAGGGCTAAGACCATCAATGTCACAATAGCTTTGGTTACCCAATTGGTACCAGCAGTCCGCAAAGCTCCAACCACAGCAACAAGGATCAACAAGTGTGTCAGCATTAAAATCACTGTCATCACTTGTAGCCATCCTATAGAGAGTCACTATATGGAGTGACTATCCTTTGACATAGGAATGTGGAATTTACGGCAATTGCTAAAGGCCTTTCAAACAGGGATGATCGTTGGCCAGCATACATTTTTTTCAGAGAAAATGTTCTCACTGTTATATTACGTGATGTTTTTTTAAATATTAATTAAAATTGTTACATCTCAACTTAAAGCTTTTGTGACTGCAGGAATTCATACTCTTTGGGTCTTTCGGTAAAGCCATGTAGATTGAAAAATAATAAAAATAATGAAAAATATCACGACGTTTCTTATCGCAACACAAGCAATCGTCATCAGGTGAAAAATACAGCAGGAGAACTGCTGAGGCAGAAAAAATATAGCAGGAGAGCTGCTGAAGCAAGCAGTTATATAGATTTGAGATGGGGCTAGAGATGGAATTTGCATGTAAATGTAAGATCGGAGAGCTGATATACCCCACGACTATGAAGCTGCGGAGGCGGCCATTGTATTGCGAGAGATTAGCATGTCAATGTAAGAAGGCCACCGCCGCGGCGGCTGTGTTAATGAGAAGATTAGCATGTCAATGTAAGAAAACCAGGCACAACGCCACATCGGGGACAACAAAGCTGTGGAGGTGGCTGTTGTGTTGTGAGAGACTAGCATGTCAATGTAAGAAAACCACCGTAACGGTGGTTGTGTTAGTGAGACATTTAGTCTGTTAAAAAAAACGTGGCTTTACCGAAAGACCCAAAGAGTATGTTATATCTCAGTTGCACTTAATTATAGAAGGGTGTAAAATCAATACTGAAACTACACGGTGCAGGTTACCATTGCAAGGTGTAATGGAATACATTTTAAACGGTAATGAGTTTAGTGGCACGTGCATTATTTATTTATAAATGATAAATTAAAGGAATTTTAAACCAATACTAAGCTCTCACTGGAAAATGTTCTCGGCTTACTGAGCGGTGCTTAAATGATTACTTGCCTTCAGAAATATGCATTTAGTTTACGCTTAGAATTACGTAAACGTCACCCTCTGCAAATGGAAAAAGTGTAACAATGGGCATATGTTGTGTATACAGTGTGCACAAGTAAACAAATCCCACACTGACATTTACAAGTTGTTCGCAGGCATAGAGGAATTAATTGAAAGTGGCTTTTTCCTGCCAGAGATGTAGGCAGGGCAGGCAGTTTGTGTTATTCCCAACTACACACTGACGGTGCTATTTAGCGCAACTAATTGGACGATTGCTCGTTTTCCACACAGTGGCGAGTGGGTTGCGATGCCCTGCACCCAGCCCGAGCGGAGGTGTGTGCTTTGGCCCTCACTTTTTGTTAAGGAGAGTGAGGCTTAATTTGTTCCTCGTGGGCCTAGCGGGTGTTTCTCATTTAGCGTGCGAGCGCACGTTTGTTTATTTTTTGTTCTTTTCACGCACTACCGTAGATATCAGGCGGCGTGAAATATTCGTTTCGCGATGCCCCCACCACCTCTCTTTCCAGCATGTCGGTGGCGCGGGCGCACGCCAGGCTGAGTCTGCGGAGTGTGGCTTTGGAGGCGGACGCGGTGATCGCCATCGCGCTCTACGAAATCTCCATCACCTCGCGGCATGGTAAAGGGGGCTCTCCCGCGTTTTGCGCTTGCGTCTTTAGTAACGCACCCCGTCGGTATCGTGAGCCAGCCCTTTTGCTACCGTCAGCCGGCGTGGATTTGCCGAACCTTTCCAAGCAAAGGGGCGCCGTGGTCTTGAGATGTTAACTTCCTTGCCTGGTATACAGGAAGTTGTGGATTCGATCCCAACCTTGGCGCCTGCTGTATATTTGGAGATTGCGTGTCTCTCTCCACATGGTTGTGTGGATTTTTCTCCGGTTCCTCCGGTTTTTCCCTCCACATTTAGAATGAACATTCGTTTAGAGTTTTTGGTTGCTATAAATTTCCACGTAATAAGCCACTTTGTTTGGCTATAATATGTGATAGCCAGGTTACTCTGAAAAAGAGCTATATTGCAGCTGAGTGGGCTATACCTGCTAAAATAAAAATAGTTTATCATTTAGTTTAAAGGTAAAACTGTCTAGTGGCGGGTTCACACTGTCGTCTCCAATCCAAATACGACACTTGCAGCTTCGGCGCAAAGTGACCAGGTGCTGCTGCTGCGTTTGGCCTGGCTGAACAAAAAAAATAAGACAGGCAGATTTGACGTTCAGGTTCTGCAGAAAATAAAACATTGCACGTCCATATCATAATCATAATAAGAGCAAACATTCATGCTCATTACCTGTGTATTGATAGTTTAAATGTTAATGTGGCATGTTATTGAGGTACTACTGCTGTGTGGTGTTATCTTGGTGTGGTCTGGGAATGTTTTGTTGTTTTTGCTGCCTTGCCCAAGATTGATAAATCGGACCTATTTAATCTATTTATTAATTCCTATTCTGTTTTTTGTATTGTTTGTTGTTGTAATTTGCAGACCCGCCGATACTGGATACCTGTTAAAAAGAGCTTTTATAGCTCATTGGATTCTTCCAGTCTTATTAAAGAAATATTATTCTGATTTTCACTCGTGCGTGCAAGGAGCACTTTGCCACCGGCCCTCTCGGCGGCTCTTTGAGCAAACCCACCACTATGGACGTTCCCCCAAACAACCGCCACCGCAGCCTTTCTTCCAACGGGAACCCCCACTCTCGCTTTAACTCCGCTGGCAATAATGCCAGTTTGCTACCATATATATTTTTACTTTAATGCCAGGAGAGAGCACTCTCACCCACGCAACAGCAACACTAATTAAATAATAAATAAAACATACAAACTGGCTGCTTTGGGTTGTACGTGCTGTACTCAGAAAATAATGTGAGAAAAAAGTTGTTTTATTTCTCTAAGATAACAAGTTGTACACTGCACCACATGCGACGAATAACATGCGCCACAACTCTCGTGCATGAAAGCACGCCAAGTGTATGCATGTTACGCCATAGAAAGAGATTATTTGTAAGGGTCCAACTCCAAACACACTGGAGGCTTTTTTCTCAATGCGGCGAGTGTTTGCGAGTCGTGCCCTGCGCACCACTGCGAACGCAAAGTCTCCGTTACTGGGTCCGTGTCCCAGTCGTGTTAAGAGACGCCCTTTGTGTTGTTGCAGGGACTTCCGCCCTACAGATAGTGCCCCCCACGGTGTTTCCTTCGGACCTTTCCTTGCGCGTGGGCTATGAGCAGCGCGACATACACCTCAGCAATTGCCACCAGGACATCCTGCACTTCTGCACTTCCTTCATGCCGGAGATGATTTACAGGACAATTGAGGAGTGATCTCCTCCTTTAACTCTCCTCACTATTCACTAGTCAATTCGTATCATATTCTCAAGCTCACGGGAATCATTGCGGTCGGTTTAAAACCGTTGTCAATCCACCACTGGAAAAAAGGCTCCCCCACCCACCCCACATGCCATGTCAGTCATGGCCATTGTGCACCACGCTGGTCAGTGCAGCTGGGTAGAGTAGTAACCCAGGACTGGTACACGTTAGCGCACGATGCTGACATTATCCATGGCCGAGAGTAAGACCCAGGTCGCTGGACTCATGGAGCAGCATGTGAAACACGCCGCTCCACCTCAAAATAAAACTTTTTTTTATTTTACCAGGTAAGGCCCACTGAGGTATATAGTTATTTTTTATAGAAGCGACCTGGCCACAAATGATAGCCCAATGAAGTGGGATAATTATATGGAAATGTATCGCAGCCAAATATTCTAAATCTATGTTTTAAAATGTGGAGGGAAATAAACGCAGGACGTGGAGAAAAATTCACACAACCACGGGGAGAGAGACACGAAAACTTCAAATATACAGCAGGTCGGAATCAGAACTCATGACCTCCTGCATACCAGACAAGACAAGGTAGTTAACGTATCATCACCGCAGCGCCCCCAAACTCGCGACACCATGCGCCGAATCAGGCGCCTGTGTCGTGCTGTATGTAATGGCATCACGTGATGCATCCAGCCACTTGATAGCGTGTTCGCCGCTTGTTGCAGAGGTTAATGCTGCAGGTGTATTAACATTCAAATTTGCAAGCCAGCTTTTTCACGGTCGACTTTAAATATATCCTGAGGAGTGTGTCGCCAGAGTAGGCTATCGTGTCCGGGCATCGTCGTTCAAATAAAAAAAAAATATTCTATTGCAACGTACCCAGTTGGAATGGTACGTAGCAACTGTCACTATGAAAACTTGGCAGGACTCTGCTGAAAAAGTGTCGCGAGACTCGTTGAATTTTATTTCTGGGTAAAACAAGCGCAGAAGCACACCATCAGTAAATATAAATGTATCGGACTGGGCAACCCGATGGGAATAAAATAAAAGATTAATGGCTCATCACAGCCAGACGATTCACTCCAGTTGAGCAATATTAGAATACCTCGCTGAGAGGATCTTTTCCCCACTGCATCGTAGATCCGGGCCCCTCATCCTCCACTCTGATTCACTGGTCCCAGACTAGGGCAGAGAGGAGGTTATAATGCGTTCTTCAGTGTACACTTCTACTCATTGAACTCTTTGAGATGTGGTCCATCTGTTACGGTCGTCACACTCAATTGTTAGTTGGAGACTGCAATCGTTTTTTTTGGATTTTAAAAATTACATATTTAACGACATGCTTGTTGTTGTCGTAATGTTTAAGTGTTTATTGTTGTACATTTTAATGTTTAATACAAAAAAAACACATTGGTAATTATCCGTCGTTGTTTATTTGGCCGAGGGAGTCTCACTAGACTCTGGAATATTTTCAGTTGCATCACAGCTTGACTTAAACTAAACTATTTAAAACTATAAACTATTTTTTTCCCAGAGTAAGGCCCCACTGAGCTACTTTGCTCTTTTTCAGAAGCGATCTGACCACAAATGATAGCTCAACGAAGTGGGCAATATCACGTGGAAATGTATAACATCAAAATACTCTAAACGCGTGTTTCTAAATGTGGAGGGAAAAACCGAAGGACCTGGAGAAAAATCCACAAGAACACGGGGACAAAGAGAGACACGCAAACTCGAAATATACGGCATTTGGGATTGAACCCACAACCTCCTGTATACAAGGCGAGGTAGTTAACATCTCGCCATTGTGGCGCAAACAAATTGACTTACGAAACGAATGCAGACTGGCAGCTCTGCTTTACTTAGTGTAGTCGAATGGGTGGGGTCGTCGCTATGCATGTCTGTAATTATGTTGGAGGCGAGGGTTGGTGGATCACACACATGTGTTGGATCTCCCTTCCTGTGGGCTGCAAGGTGCCATACCCTGGCTTGCTTAGAGAAAGCGGTATAGCAACTGTGGACTCCACCTGTTCCATATGTATGGGATAAAGTTTCGACTCCTTTCGCACGTGGAATTTTTCCAGGTACTCTAGTTTCTTCCCATATGTAAACAATGATTGGCCGATAGCACCTTAATGGATATTGGGGTGCCATGGTGAGATGTTAACTACCTCGCCTGGTATACAGGAGGTCGTGGGTTGGATCCCGACCCTGACGCCTGCTGCTGTATATTTGGAGTTTGCATGTTCTCGTGGGTTTTTATCTGGGTTTACCGGTTTTTCCCTCCACATTCAGAATAAACATGCATTTGGAGTACTGTCTTTAGCTGCTATAAATTTCCATATGATTGGCCACTTAATTGAGCTATCATTTGTGGCCAGGTCGCTTATGACAAAGACCTCTAAATCTCAGTGGGCCTTACCTGGTAAAAATGTTCAATAGTTTTGTTGAGTATGTAATTAGTTCACGTGATCCTTGTAGCCACAATGCACGACGTAAATAAGGAGCTTCATTTGTTCAACTGGAAAGAACACTTGAATCGTGACAATTCACAAAATCACGAGGTTAGGAGAATCGTTATTGGACTATTCAGTACTGTTCCGTACATACCCTCCGGGCGTCGCTCATGGATGCTGGCTACTGTGCCAGTGATGACTCTGCTCAAGATTTCCCCGGCTGAAGATTATCCACAGTGAAATGGTAAACATAAAAAAAACATTGCTACGTAGATTCATTGATGGATAATCCCGTGAAAGAAGACACAATGTGTACACTTTTACTTACACCGGGGAGAGAGACCCAGTTGGAACAGCAGTCTCTTCCAGGGAAAAACATGGCTCGCAAAGCAAGCAGATGACTTACAAACTTCGAATCACGAAGGAACGTTCAACAATGAGCAATAAAAACAAATTTGACCAATACATTGAGAACGTCAAGCCCACCGTGCCCTTTCACCCTGCTACTTAAACGCACATTGTCCTCTGCTCTGCCAGAAGGCGGTCGGTGAAGGGAGTACAATCGGGAAGCATCTACAATTGTTTTCGTGCGACTTATGTATTTACAGGGGTCGTTTATAACTCGATTGTTATGATCAGGGTCCCAACTATGAGGAGGGGGGGGGGTGGCAGCGTTATGCGATGCATAGGGGCCAAATCAACAGGTTAACAAGTACTCTTTAGTTTTTTTCGGTAAAGTCACGTAGGTAAAATAAAATAAAACAATTAAATCACGACATTTCGGAGGCAACACAAGCTTCCGTTTTCTGGTGGAACAGTCACAGCAAGATTGCTGCATCAAGTGGGGAGGCTCTGAGAGCCTCGAGCTTAAATACAGGTTAAGGGGGGGGAGGAGCCAAGTAGGAGACATTGATGGGGTGGGGGCTAAGTTAATCCGTATTTTGTTATGTGGAGGGTGCGGGGGATGCGGTGGGTCACTGCACGGGGGCAATGGAAAAATGGAAAAGTTCGGAAGAATATGCTGTGTGCTTATAAGGTAGCTAAAGTTTTGACTTGGTTTATGACATCTTTCCAGTGGTTGTTTAATTTAAAACCATCATCTCGGTTGACGTTGTGTCTATGTATACCTGGATGGCTTCATGGACAAATCTTTGGTAATAACCGGGAGGTTTGCATAGTACTTTGGTATCGGAGAAAACAATCTCATGAGAACCCGCTGTGTTGAGACAATGATCAGCTACGGCCAACGAATTCGTTTTGCCGTGTTTCAAATCTTCGGTCAGAAATATGTCGTTTTGTCTCCCCGATATAGCAGTCACCGCAGATACAACTCAATTTGTAAACACCGGGTTACTGTAAGTCAGGGATGACATCCTTTATGGATGGGATCAGATCACGGATTTTGTGTACTGTATTGAATCGAACCTGAATCTTGTGTTTGTTTAGAATTTTGAAAATCTTTTTGGTAACGCCTGCTATGTTTGGCAGTGTGATGATTTTGATCGGAGTGTCAAGTGGTTGTTTCTGTATGGTGGGAGAAACAGCTTGGCGGATGATACGGTCAGAGTAACCGTTCATCTTGAGGGCTAGATGTACATGCTTTAATTCACTGGTCAGGTATGGTTGGTCAGAAATGCAATGAGCTGTATGGTATAATGTTTTGATGAGATAATTATTTTGAGCCGGGTGGTGGTGGGAATCAGGCTTCAAGTAGGAATCTGTGTGGGTGGACTTCCTGTAAACAGAATGTCCCAAAGAGCCATCAGTCCTCCTCTCAAACAGAACATCCAAGAATGGCAGCATGCCATCTTTCTCCACTTCCGTGGTGAATTTGATGGATGGTGTCTGGAATTGATGTGGTCTAGGAAATGGTTCAAAGCTGGGAGGCCATGTGGCCAAATGACGAAAGTGTCATCTACATATCTCTTCCACAGGGAAGGACTAAGGGTGGATGTCTGGATGGCGTCTGATTCAAATTTCTCCATGAAAACATTGGCTATCACTGGTGACAAGGGGGAACCCATAGGGGTACCCTCATTTTGTTTGTAGAAGGTGCCATTCCAAGTAAAGTAGGTGTTGGTGAGGCAGTGCCTAACCAGCGCAGGTACATTAGGGTCCAGTCCATGTTGGACCAAATCTTCAATTCTTGTTATGGTATCAGGTACTGGGACCTTGGTGAACAGAGAGACCACATCAAAGCTGACGAGGATATCGTCAGGAGATAGTACAATGTCTTTGACCATAGAAACCAATTGGGTTGAGTTAAGTACTGCTGAGGTGGTCTTGCCAGTGAACCATTTCCTAGACCACATCAATTCCAGACACCCATCCATCAAATTCACGATGGAAGTGGAGAAATATGGCAAGCTGCCATTCTTGGATGTTCTGTTTGAGAGGAGGGACTGATGGCTCTTCGGGACATTCTGTTTACAGGAAGTCCACCCACACAGATTCCTACTTGAAGCCTGCTTCCCACCACCACCCGGCTCAAAATAATTATCTCATCAAAGCATTATACCATACAGCTCATTGCATTTCTGACCAAAACCACCTGACCAGTGAATTAAAACATGTACATCTAGCCCTCAAGATGAACAGTTACTCTGACCGTATCATCCGCCAAGCTGTTTCTCCCACCATACAGAAACAACCACTTGACACTCCGATCAAAATCATCACACTGCCATACATAACAGGCGTTACCAAAAAGATTTCCAAAATTCTAAACAAACACAAGATCGAGGTTCGATTCAATACAGTACACAAAATCCGTGATCTGATCCGATCCATGAAGGATGTCATCCCTGACTTACAGTACCCCGGTGTTTACAAATTGAGTTGTACCTGCAGTGACTGCTATATCGGGGAGACAAAACGACATATTTCTGACCGAATTCGCGAGCACAAATCAGATTTGAAACACGGCAGAACGAATTCGTCGGCCGTAGCTGATTACTGTCTCAACACAGCGG